CCACACCTGGGGGGGCTTTTAAAAAATACTAATGTCTGAGCCCAACCCTAACCAAATGAAATTCAATCTGCAGGGGTGGAGTCAGGCATCTATAGTTGTTAAAAGATCCCCAGGTAATTCTGATGCACAACTGGCTGAAGAATCACTGTTCTACAAGTTCCTATTATTGATTATCATTTCAAAGGAAAGGATATGACTATTTACATCAACTCTTCTCCACTGCCACTACTGACTTTTGAAAAGATTTCTCAACATTAGTCACTGTCATCAACACGACATTTTTTTCAGACTTCACTTATTAGCCCTAGCCTACAAACAGTCTCCTACTGGCTGAAGTTGTCCTGCCAGAATCTGAAGACCTCAAATGAGTTATCTTACCAGAGGTCATTCTGTACTCTAAGTAATCAACATTTTTCTAAAAAGCAGCAAAGTCTAACCAATTTTTATTAGAGCTATAGATTTTTACCTGAAGGTACTAAAGAGTAAAGACTTGAAAAATAAATTAACATCAAGGTTTTTACAACATCCCCTACACCAAAATAATGCTTTGGGGGCTCATTTCCCCCAAACTTTTAATTAAATTTAAAACATAATAAAAGTAGAGAGAATATAAAATATACTCCCACATACTCATCACTACTTTGAGAATTATCAACTCCTGGCCAATCCTGTTTTATCTATACAATCCTATACTCAACATCCCCTAATCAGGATAATTTTGAAGCAAATCTCTGACATCATATCGTTTCAGCTAGGCTTTTTTCACTTTAATACAATAATGCAGAAAATAACTGGAAGAAACTTACACAATAAGAATGACAAAAAAAGCCCTGGCCGGTTTGGCTCAGCGGTAGAGCGTCGGCCTGCGGTCCTGAGAGACCCGGGTTCGGTTCCCGCTAAGGGCACGTACCTTGGTTGCAGTTTGTCCCCGGCTCTGGTCAGTCGTGCGGGTGGCAGCCACTCGATGTGTCCCTTCACATCGATGTTTCTCTCTCTCTCTCTCTCTGTTCCTCTCTCTCCCTCCCACTCTACCTGAACAAAAAATGGAAAAATGTCCTCGGGTGAGGATAAAAAAAAAAAAAAAAAAAAAGAATGACAAAAAAAGGTGATAAAATAATCGTTTATAAATATAAAAGAAATATAACATTTGAAGTCTCCTTTGTTAGCTACCTCTTACAGGACTGATGAACACTGCGCCTCTGGTGTTGGTTAGCTAAGGTGTCACAAAAAGCTTAGTTTCATAGTTAACGGAACTCTCTTAAGTAGAGTTCTTATTTGAGATCTAGACAGATGATAAATGAAATTACTATTTTTTTTTATATCTTTCATACTAATGACCAAGACAACAAATGGCAGATTTCTTTTTAAACCCCCCCCCCCAGTTTTACTGAGGTACAAATGATGCACAGTAACTGAATATGTTTAAGGTATACAACTTGATGTCGATATATGTTATATTGTGAAATTATTTATAGTCAAGCTAATTAACATATCTACCACTTCACATATAGTTATCATTTTCTTTCTTTTTTTAATATGATGAGAACACTTAAGATCTTTCCTCTTGACTTAGACTTGGGGTCTAAACCCAACTACTAGTTGTGTGACTTGAGATTCCTGAATCTCTCATCCATCATCTGTAAACTGGGAAAATACCACTATTTTTGGACATTAAAGGGGATAATATATGCAAAATGCCAAGGACAACAGTGAGTATGGAAATGACTACATATATTGACATGGACCAAACACTATTAACAAAAGACCAAAAATAACATCCTGGACAGTGGCTTCTACCTTGAAATACCTAAATTCCTAGAGCATATGAAAGCAATAATGGGACAATCATGCAGTTGTAGTCTAATATTTTTTGCCAGTGGGTTTCTAGTAAGTTCTGAGAACTTCATAATAGTTAAAAAATATAAACTACCCAATTAGATCTACAGAAAGATAGCTCTAGAAAATATAGTCAAAGTAAATTAAGTTGCTTGTTAAATCTATTCTAAGTGGGTGAAATAAAAATGAAGTACAAAATTTGTATTTGTAGTATAAGGTCAAAGGTCTTATTCTAATATCTCTTTTGATATGTCTTCAGTGACTTTACCAGTTTGCTCAGAATGATGATGAAATAAACATTATCTGCAAGAAACTGTATGGGAGGTTCTCTAAAAAAATCAATGAAACAGAGCATCTGGTCTTCATCTTCCCTCAGCTAACCTTTCTTTTAATATAATATTCACTTCCTAAAAAATCCTGAATCCTAAACTTCAGTGCTTCCACATTGAATATATCTATTCAAACTTTATCATTAATGTAGATAGCTGAAAATCACATTTCCCCCTTTTAGATGGATGGTTCTATAATAGGTATGAGAAAGCATCTACAAAAACAAGTCTCTCTCTCTTTATTACTAATAAGGACACAGAGAAGTTCTACTTTGGTCTTGGTATTTGGTCTAAACTCTCTCCCTTTTTTTTTTTTTAAATCCTTACCTGAGGATATTTTTCCATTTATCTTCAGATAGAGTGGGAAGTAGGGAGGGAGGAAAGGAGGGAGGAGGAGAGGTAGAGGGAGGAAAGGAGAGGGGGGAGGAAGGGAGGGAGGGGGAGAGGGGAGGGGGGAGGGAGAGAGAGAGAGAGAGAGAGAAAGAAACATCGATATGACAGAGACACACTGATTGGTTGCCTCCTGCATGATCCCAACCAGGGCCGGACCAAACCACAACCGAAGTACATGCCCTTGACCAGAATCGAACCTGCGACTCTGGTCTGCAGGCTGATGCTCTAACCGCTAAGCCAAACCTGCCAGGGACCAAACTCTCTTTGACAAAGCATTTGGATAAGTCTTCAAATGGCCTAGGCCAATTTAGTTATCACTTGTGGCATTCCTAAACTTGTATGTGATCAATGGCCTTGTGATTGCATAGCGTCCATGATATCTAATAATCTCAGTAATTAGAAAAACTATGTCATTAAGATTTACTGTTACCTAAACATTCACTTTCAGATATAAACATTCTAATGAAATGAAGTAAAAATGTCCTTAAGTGTTTATCAGTCAACAGCAGAAGAAAATGCTGCAGTAATTAATGTTGTGAAAACTGTTAATTTTATGTATAAAATAGTAAAAATTTTCAACTATTTAGCAAAATAAATTGACAATTAATACTAATATATTTAAGTTACTTTCTCAATAACATATCTTAGAAAAATGTATATAAAAATTCAAATAATGTAAAATAATGATTAGATTTTATCATAGTTCAATTTTTGCAGAACTGTATTATGTACTAGCATTTATATTAAAGAAAGTAACATTTAAGAGCTGTATTTAATTTTAATTAATTACTTCCATTTAAGTCATAAATCTTTCAAGAAAAAGTCCTATTGGGGAATTCTTCACATCTTGAGAGATGATGAATTAAAAACAACGTCACCTTAAAATATCAAGAGTTGGAAAAAATACATAAATTATATAAACAACAGATACACAATAATCCAAATATAATCTCTAATCAAAATAATAAAATATGGCTCTGGCCAGTTTGGCTCAGTAGTTGGAGCATCAACCCATGGACAGAAGTTCAATTCCCAAAGATACATACTTGGGTTGTAGATTCGATCCCAGCCCCGGAGGGGGTTCTGCAAGAGACAACCAATCGATATGTCTCTTTCACATTGACGTTTCTCTCTTTTTCCCCTCCCTCCCTTTCACTCTATCTAAAAATTAATGGAAAACTATCCTCAGGTGAAGAATAACCAAAAAAGATAAAAAATAAAATATGTTCAGACAAAACTGTTAGAGAAAATTGAGGTAGTCCAACCATAGTTTCTTTAGTCAAATTTCACAATGAAAACTCTGTAAGAACGTTTTAAAACAATTTCTATAGTCTTGAGTCTATGAAGGCTAAACCTTAAAACATAAAATGTAATACATGATTCTTTTCTGTATCCGAAGATGAACACTTTTTGAGATTTGCCTAACCTATGAATCCTAGTTCCTTCTAGTCAATACCTTACTGAAGAATGTTTTCCTAAACTACTCTTGGCACACAGAAAGGTTAGTAATGTTATTAAATGTCCATGTTGAAAGTCATCTCTTTGGTATTTCTGATACATAGTACAGTGACTGCAAGAAAAATCTAATAGCTAACAGTTTCAAGAAATTGTTCTTGTACTATAATCTTAAACTTTTCAAGACTTACTATTACTGTTGACAACAATAAACCATAATGATAATTAATTTTTTGGATGAAATGATTCTTCTACCCTAGAAGTTCATTCTCTGGTTTTAATCACAGGCAAATATTGATTTTAATATTTGGTCACTGGCATTTGGCCAAAATGTATATTTGGTGTATCTCTACTAATAGATGTTTAGTGGCCTATCCCTATGCTTCTTGGTAGAGATTTGGTCTTAGGCTGGTTGAATATTTTTACCTTGATAGTTTTAGAAAAATCCCAACTGCTCTACTTCACAATTAATATTCTTTATTATTCCTTTCTTTGTACTTTTTATCACTTCAAATCTGTTCCATAAAATTCAATATTAAATGATCCACTGTTTTGTACTGTTAACTGTGCTGACCTTATCTTCTCACAGGAGAGTTCTTCCTTAAGGGTGAGTAATTTAATATTGCATGATACTTTTTTTGTATTATCCATGGTGCCTAGCACAGTGCTGGTTATCTGGTACATATTTACTAATTCACTAAGATCCAAGATGTTGCTGGCTAAACACCTTTGTGTCTTATCATTTTCCTTCGTAGTTTTAGGCTATTCTATAAGTAAACTACACAAAGCTAAATATAAGGGACTGCATTTAATAAAAGACAGAAGCAATATTGCTTAGTGGTGGAGAAAATAGACATTGTATTTAGATCTAAGACACTACAAGTAAGTCACTTACTTTCTCATGCCTTAGTCTAACTATGAATTCTGTAAGGCAATCACATTAAAGTTAAAATAACTGAGATGAAAAATCATAACATTAACACCAACCTGAAAGTTCGAACAAGATTTTTAAGTTGTGTGTAAATATCTCCTAATGTAATCTGAAGAGGCCCCAAAAGTCCAGGTAATCTGAAAATAAAAAAAATTAATTTCTTTTAAAATATAATTTAATTATATAAATAGATTTTTGGGGGTCTTGCCTAGGTCTGGATTTTCCATAGGTAACAATGGCACTTAGGTAGAGGCAGTTAAGCTAGGTTATAACTCATGAGAAGTCATAAGGAAATATTTCATTACCCCACACTTCACTTTGTAGTCTATGTTACAGTGTAAGGCACCAGAATATAAAAATATTATTTTGACTGCTATATATATTCTTGTCTCCAGTTTCCTTACCTCTTTACTTTCAAATATCAGGCCAAATAGAAAGAAGACAAAGCCAGGAGAATTGCCCTCCAAATGATTAAATCTGGAAGTGTGGTTTCTCATTATTAAATCCTTATGGTGGGAGAAAAAATTAGTACATTTCTAGAGAACAAATTGAAAAAATATATATATACATATATATATATAAACATTTTAAATGTGAATACTCTTTGACCCACTAGCTTTTTTTCCAAAAAATTTATCCTACAGAAATCATCAGATAAACATAGAAAAGATGCACCCTGGCCAGTTTGGCTCAGTGCTTGGAGCATTGACCTGCGGACCAGAGAGTCCAGGGTTTGGTTCCCGCTAGGGGCACATACCAAAAAAAAAAAAACACGGAAAAGACGCTTGTTGCAGGAATATTATTAATAGCGAAAAAACAGAAACAAATGTTCGTCAATATGTGATTGGTCAAATAAGTTATGACATATCCACATAATGGAATATAATAGAACCTTTGAAATAATGTAAATCTATTTTTTTAATGTGGAAAGATATTAATAAATGTTAAGTAAAAACTGCATGCTAAATATTGTCCCATTTTTACAAAAACATAAATATTATATAATGCTACTGCATATAATACATAGTATATATCAAATGTTTCATTTCTTCCAGGTTTATACTATAACAGAGGGAACCAAAGGGTCTAGATTCACATATATACACATATCACATATATGTCAAGGATAAGCATCAAAATATTAACAGTAGTTATGGTTGAGTTGTGGGATTACAGGTGATTGTCACTTCCTTCTTTCATAATGTTTAAGTCTTCTGTAATAAGCATGTATTGCTTTTCTTTTTAAAACTTATTATGAAAGTTCCAAACATGTTCCAAAATACAGAGAATAGCAATAATAACCTCATATATCTGTTCTGAGATTCAATCTCCCAATATTTTGTTATACGTGCTTCATATTTTTCTTCCCCTTTTTTTTTGCTGTAATATATATTTTTTTATCCTCGCCGGAGGACATTCTTTGCATTTATCTTCAGATAAAGCAGGAAGGAGAGAGAGAGAAACATCAATGTGAGAGAGACACATCGACTGGTTGCCATCCACACATTGACTGGTTGCCATCCACTACAGGGGCCGGGGACAAACTGCAACCGAGGTATGTGCCCTTAGCAGGAACCGAACCCGGGATTCTCTGGTCCACAGGCCGACGCTCTAACCACTGAGCCAAACTGGCCAGGGCTGCTGTAATATTTTAAAGTCAATCTCTGACATCATGTCACTTGACCCCTAAGTATTTTCTTAGGTGTTTCTAAATATAAAGGCATTTTTTATACAACCACAATAAAATTATGATCATAATTAATAATTCCTTATTATTACAAGTTAATAATTCCTCGATATCATCTAATACTCAGTACATATTTCATTTTCTTTGATTATCTAAAAAATGCCCTTTTGCAATTGGTTTGTTCCGACAGAAACCAAAAAAGTCTTAGCTTTTTTTTTTTCTGTTCAGCCATTTCATACAGGAAGAGGACACAAATAAATCCTCTCTTTTCAGATCAGGGCAATTTTAATCTATCCCATAAGCATAGCTACCAAAATCTATTAGGAGAAAATGTGGTAGTCAAACGGGCAAAGTCTAACTCTTATAATGAGAAAAAGATCAACCAATTGAAAACAACCAACCAACCAACCAAAAAACCCTTATATCACCATAATTATTTTGTTTTCAGTGCTCTTTGTGCTTCTTTTTCCATAAGTTATTCCACCTCTTCTCAAATTTAGTTCTTATGCTAATATCAATAATTTGGTCTACTATCAGGGGTCCTTTTTTATCTTCTGATGTAGCCAAAATCCTGAAGGAACAGAATTCCTTCAATGACATGTCTATGTGGTCTTAAATTTAAAACTGGGTACTTTTATTAGCTAAGAATTCTAGAAAACTATTTTCAGATAAATTCCTATCTGATTATATACCAGTATAGATAATCCATCCCAACTTTATAAAACTATGTAACTAAAGTCAAAGATTGGTGTCTTTTTGTTCTATGAATCTTATAGATGATGAATTATTCTATTTTCTAAACTAATATTTAACAGAAACATTTAGGTATGACAACATATAAAAGATAAAATTAATAACAGATGTATCATATATGAAGAGCCTCACATATAAAATATCCTCAATAAATATTATTTTAAAGATTTATTTAAAATGTAAAACTTGCCCAGCCGGTGTGGCTCAGTGGTTGAGCGTCGACCCATGCACCAAGAGGTTGCCAGTTCAATTCCCGGTCAGGGCATATGCCCAGGTTTGTGGGCCCAATCCCTAGTGAGGGGCATGCAGGGGGTGGCTAATCGATGTTCTCTCTCATCAATGTTTCTATCTCTCTCTCCTGTCCCTTTCTCTCTCTCTCTAAAAATCAATAAAGAAAAAAATTTAGTAAATAAATAAATAAAAGGTAAAACTTAGCCCGGCTGGTGCGGCTCAGTGGATTGAGTGTCGCCCCATGGACTGAGAGGTCCTACTTGGATTCCTGGTCAGGGCACATGCCCGTGTTTTGGGCTTAGTTCCCAGTAAGGGGTGTGAGGAGGCAACTGATTCATGTATCTTTCTCACATCAATGCCCCCCCACCTTCTCTCTCTCTAAAAAATCAATTTAAAAAAAAAACCATATAAAATGTAAAACTTAGAGGAGTAAGCTGCTCAAAATATTATGGCTTCCAAAAATATGTTTTTGTTATTTTTGAACTACTTAATTAAGACTTCTCCACATGTACAACACCTTAAACAATAACTGAAAATACCTTCCCATCTTTTCTGCTAAAGAAAGAAAATGCGCCTGGCTGGTATGGCTCAATGGATTGCGCATCATCCCATGGACTGAGAGGTCCTGGTTTGATTCCCAGTCATGGCACATCCCCAGGTTATGAGCTTGATCCCCAGTAGATAGCATGCAGGAAGGAGGCAGCCAATCGATGTTTTTCGCTCACATTGATGTTTCTATTTCTCTCCCCCTTCCCTTCTCTCTAAAAAATCAATAAAAATATTTTAAAAAAGAAAGAAAGAAAATGCAGGTTGAAAAGTTCAAAACAGCTCTCATACCTCTGGAAAAAAGATTTTTAAGCTCCTTTTGAAAGAGATACCAATATTGCAATCTTTTTTTTTTTTTTTAATTTTTTTCTTTATTGATTTTAGAGAGAGGAAGAGAGAGACAGAAACATCGATGAGAGAGAACATCGAATGGCCGCCTCCTGCATGTTCCCCATTGGAGATTTGGCCTACAACCTGGGCATGTGCCCAGACTGGGAATTGAACTGACGACCTTTTGGTGCATGGGTTGACACTCAACCACTGAGCCACACCGGCCGGGCCAATATTGCAATCTTTAAAATGTCATTTATGACTGGGCTAATAACAAGAATAGTAATTTCCACCATGGAAAGCTTAAAACTAAAGTACAAAGTTGAGTTGAACAAAAACCGAAGTTGCTGAGTGTGAAATTGTTCTATGACTATATATACAGAGTGAGTTAACAGACCATTAAAACTATAAAGTCTTATTCACATGTGAAACTGATGTGACACATTAACCACAAGTCAGTATTTAAATAGGTCTAGCTTTGGTATTTTTTTCCCCTGACTTCACTGGATTATTAACTTGAAGTGAAGTAGTTCGGTTTTCTACTCCCATAATCTCAACCTTCCTCTTTACTATGTGCCTCTTGAACACAAAGCTTAATTTCAGTATTTTCTTGGTAGGATATCTTAAAAAAATCTAAATTTCTCGGGTGAAAAAAATCCATGTAAACTTTTCACATTATTCTTCACTGTTCAAAATTCACTGTTAAAAGCTATACATTATGAATCCACAAAAACCAAGTTAACTTAAAAATATTGTAAAAATAAAATAACAATTACATACTTACACTTTACTCAATTTTTCAAGTACGATGCGTTTTCTAATCTGGTTCTGAGAACTTGAATCTATCAGTGGGAAGGTGGGATCATGCTGAATCACATTTTTAAACAAAGCAAAACAAAATCATAAATTTACATTCTTTGATAAGAATAATTAACATTAAAATGCAAATTAACACTTGTGGAATGGTAGAATAAAAACTAGACTTGAAAATTATAAAATTTTATAAGATTTAGATTTGAGTATCAGTTCAGTCATTAGGCTGATATGAACTGGAGTCATTTGCCCTCTTGAGAGTGTTTTCTCATATGTATAAAAGGAATACTAATACCTTTTTCATTGAATGAGAAAATGTATACAAAAAGACTTTGTAAACTACTATATGCTATATAAATGTATTAAAAGATAAAAATCAGCAAATAATATAAATGTATCATGGGGAATTCTGCTTCTAGAAATGGCAGACAAGATAATTCAAACCACCCCTCCTGCTAAGAACTGAAAAAGCTGGGTAAACCCACATTTATTTGAAAGGATCAGATTGCTAACAAGGCAGTAAAGATTTATAGCCTGAGATTCTGGACACAGTAATCCCAGAAAGGCCACTGACTGATTTCAGAAGAGGCAATTTATATACTGAGAAGACAAGCACTGCTTTTCTAATAGACATTAGAATTTTGGCCATGCCAAGAAGGCACTAGCAACCCTCCCAAAGTAAGAAATCCGGACTTAGAAGGATCACATTCGAGGGGTACAAATGAATAGGCTCTTATGGGGACTGAGGCCCAGCTTCAAATAATCATAATCCCTGACTGGATTAAGGTGATTTGGGACTGCTACAAATCATCTGCCAGAGCAAACATACAAAATCCACTCTAGAGGGAGATAACATCAGCCTGGATCTCAAGCTACCTCTGCAACTTTTTTTTTTAATATGTTTTTACTAATTTTTCAGATAAAGAGGTAAGGAGAGATAGAAACATCGATGTGAGAAAGAAATATCAGTCGGGTGCCTCCTGCACGTCCCCAGAGCCTGCAACCCGGGCAAGTGCCCTGATTAGGAATTGAACTGGGACCTCAGTCCATGGGGCAATGACCAATCCAATGAGCCACACTGGCCAGGTACCTCTGTAACTTTTTTTTTTTTCAATCCTCACCCGAGGATATTTTTACATTTATCTTCAGACAGAGTGGGAGGGAGAAAGAGAGAAGAAACATCGATGTGAGAGAGACATAATGACTGGTTGCCTCCTGCACCACCCTGACCAGGGCCGGGGACCGAACTGCAACGGAGGTATGTGCCCTTGACCAAAATCAAACTCGCAATTCTTTTTTTTTTTTTTTTTTTTATCCTCACCCGAGGACATTTTTCCATTTTTTGCACAGATAGAGTGGGAGGGAGAGAGAGGAAGAGAGAGAGGGAAACATCGATGTGAAAGGGACACATCGAGTGGCTGCCACCCACACGACCAACCAGGGCCAGGGACAAACTGCAATCGAGGTACATGCCCTCAGCGGGAACCGAACCCGGGTCTCTCCGGACCACAAGTGGATGCTCTAACCGCTGAGCCAAACTGGCCAGGCCAAACTCGCAATTCTTTGGTGTGTGTGCCAAGGCTCTAACCACTGAGCCAAATCAGCCAGAGCAAAAAATATAGTATTTAAAAGAACTCAATGGATAGATTTAGTATATAGTAGAAATAACTGAGGAGAGAATGCCGACTTGGAAAATATCCAGAATGAAGCACAGTCACACCAACACCCCTCTCCCCTCCACATAATGCAAAGCACAAAAGAATATGAGGCAAAGAAGATAAAGTGAAAAAGACTAACATATACACATATTAACTGGAGTAACAGATAATATTTGAGAATATTCCAAAACTGATGAAAGAAATTCAGTCACAGAACCGATTATTACAATAGCCAAAAGAACACATATCACATATACACAAAGCATTTTAAAATTCAGGCAATCAAAGGGAAAAAAAGTATTAAAAGTAGCAAAAGGAGAAAACACAATACTTGTAAAAAAAAAAAAAAAAAAAGAAAAAAAAAAAAGCTGCAATAAGAGAAATAAATAGAAGCCAAAAGACAAGGGAATATTTTCAAAGGGCTGAAAGTAAATAAGTGCTAATCTAGAATTCAATATCCAGGAAAATATCTTTCAAAAGTAAAAGTGAAATAAAAAATTTTGTTACAGCCCTGGCCAGTTTGGCTTAGCAGTTAGAGCATCGGCCTGGGTCAGGTTCCTGCTAGGGGAATGTGCCTTGGTTGTGGTTTGTCCCAGCCCAGGTTGGGGTCTTATGGGTGGCAACCACTCACATCTCTCTCACATTGATGTTTCTCTCTTTCTTTTCCTCCTTCCCTCCCTCCCACGCTTTCTGAAGATAAATGCAAAAATGTCCTTGGATGAGGATAAAATAAAATAAAAAAAATTTTATTACAAACAAAGATCACGAAAAATTATCACTAGCAAACTGGCACTAACACAAACCAAGGATATTCTTTAGGCCCAAGGCAAATGACCCCAGATGGAAGAATGGAAATTCTTCCCCCCTTTTTCTCTCCCACTCTATTTGAAGATAAATGCAAAAGTGTCCTCGGGTGAGGATAAAAAAAAAAGAAGTGAAAAACAATGAAAGAGTAATTAATTGGACAAATCCAACTGAATATTGACTAGAAATAATCTTGTTAGACTTAAAATATAGAGAAAACAAAAGTACACAACAAGAGCACATAAGTAAAGAGGGAGTAAAAGTTCTAAAGTTCAAATTTTCCAGTAAGCAATAAAAGTATTATGTTACATTAAACTTTAATAAGACAAAGATTCAGGTTTTAATCCTTAGGGTAACCAATTAACAATTAGCAAAAGAATGTATAAGAAGCTAATAGAGGGTAAACAGATGGAATCATATATTTAATACAAAGAAAGCAAAAAAAAAAAAAAAAAAAGAAAGAAAGAGGAACACTGAACAAGTGGAATGCAGAAAGCAACAAGCAACAAGTGAGATGATAGATTTAAACCCAGCTATATCAATTAGGACATTAAATCTAAATGGACTAAATTCTCCACATAAAGGATAAAGATTAAAATAAGATAGTCCTTGAAAATACTATAAAAGAATGCTAGTGTCAGCAAAGTAGACTCTGAGGGGGTAAAAAAAATCAATGTACAAAAAGGTTACTCCATAAAGCTGACGGTACAATTTTCCAGTAAGGCATACAATCTTACATTTGTACTCAATAACATAGCCTCAAAATATTAAAAGTAAAATTCATAAAACTAAAAGGAGAAATAATAAATCCATAATTATAGTGAGAGATTTTCACCTAACTCTTCCAACTCTCTTAGTACCTGATGGAATGTTTCTCAAACTTTGATGTGTACACATTTCCCAAAAGGAAGACAATGAAATGTGACCTATACTCCTCACCATAAACAAAAAACAATCACAGATGAATTGCAGATCTCAATGTGAAAGGAAAAGCAAAGATTCTAGAAGATTAAATAACCTGGTATAAACAAAGATTTTTTAGAGAAGTCATTAAAAGAAACAATTAATAAACTAGACTGAAGACATCAGTAATGAGAGTGAAAGAGCAAGTCTCAGAGTGGATGGCAGTATTCACGATACATACAATTAAAAATGAGCTTGAATCCTGAATGCATACAGGATTCCTACAGATCAATTAAAAAATTCCTAGAGGGATTCCTAAATGGTGGCGGAGTGAATGGAAGCTACACAGACCATCTCCCAAGACCAAACTGGAATTACAACTAAAATAAAGACAAATCGTCGGAAAAAAGCAACAGAAAAACAGCTTGTGAGGACCACAAAACCAGGGACACTGACTAGAATCCTGGTAGGATTGTGGAGGCGCAAGACGGGGGCTGGGAGCCCATGGACAGCAGCGGTCTTAGCTGTGAGCAGCGCCCTCGGTGTTAAAACTCCCAAGCCTGCTCCACAGCACAGGGCTGGGACAGAGCACTGAAAGAGCCTCAGCCACTCACCTTGGGCTCCGGCAGAGGAAGGGAGGACTGAACTGGAACTGTGTGGGGACATTCGGGATTCAGAGGGCGCTCAGAGTTTTTGCTGAATTGCGGCCACACAGAACGGGTGACCATCTTACTCCTTCCCAGGGGTCTGGGGAGAGGCAGCGGCCCCTCCCTCAGAGATTCAACGTCACCCAGTGGGCCATTGAAATGCAAATTGAGGCTCATTAACAACCAGCATCTGCCCCACCCTTGAAAAATCCCCTTACTCTGAACACATGAGGGAGTTTTTCATTCAACTGAGTAACCAAGGCTCTTCAAGTAACCGCAACTAATAGCCTCCAGGCAAAAAACTAGAGGAAAACTGAACCTTTCCTGGGCTTGCAATTCTACCCAGGAAAGTAAGATTTGACAGTAGTGTTTTACGTGGGTCCTCCCTTGCTCATCCAAACCCAGTAGAGGGAGCCACAAACAGCAGAACACCAACACCCACAGGGAAAATCGGGCAGGCTACAAAACCCACTGACATAGCCAAAATGGTGAAACAAAGAAACAAATGCCAAATGAAAGAACAAAGGGACCTCTACCAAACATGAGATAAATGAAGTGCAGTTAAGCAAGTTAACAGGGTTAGAACTCAGAGTCATGATCTTCAGAGCATGTGTAAGGACATGAGCACCATGAGTAAAGACATACAAACATTGAAAATCAACCAATTGGAAATTAAAAACCACCAAGAAGAAATGAAGAATGACATAGCAGAAATAAAGAACACATTGGAAGGACTAAACAACAGACCAGAGGAAGCTGAGGACCAGATCAGTGAATTACAAGACAGGGTAGAAAAAAATGAACCAATCAGAAAACCAAAAGGAAAAAACAATTAAAAAACAAGAAGACAGCTTAAGAGAACTGTGGGAAAACTGGAAAGGTAATGATATTCGCATCATAGGAGTCCCCGAAGAAGAAGAAAATGAGCAAGGGTTAGAGAATATATTCAAAGAAATAGTGACAGAAAACTTCCCTAATTTGGTGAAGGAAGAAGGCATTCATGTTCAAGAAGCACCGAAATCCCCAAGTAAGAAGAACCCAA